ACATGACTACGTGTAGTGTCATTTATGAATTTTGGTGCTTTGACATTATATTTGGTCACATCTCACGTAACATTTATAGCACGATTCTCTTTCAAGTGTATGTAAGTGAACCAATAAACATTGTAAAAACGTAAATGAGATAAGAACAAATTACCGAAAAGTTATTGGTAATGTGTGTTTATAGAAATGTGTGTTGACAAAAAGTTATTGCAACTTGCCACTTCAAGTTGCCATTTTGCCATTAAGAAATGCTACTTTTACATCAACTGCGATTGAAATGTTCTATCACACATTGTCGATTGTACAATGAAAAACTGCCACACTTTCTGCTAGAGTTGACAACATTCGTATTATATATCACTATTGTGCATTATACTTTTATTAATATAACTCTCTAACTTGTTAAATTGCCACTGGGATAATGGTGACATAGCATTCGCTGTAGAAAAATGAAACAATCTTCAGTTCTTTATATAAATGGTTCGTATTCGTATATACAACATTCAATCGCACAGATTTGACTTAAAAAGTGTAGTGTAGTGTATTACATGTGCAAATAAAAAAATGGTAAGTTGTATATTGATTTATAGAATGTGTAATGTATTAAATAAAATAAGTTATCTTTGTAATAACAATGTTAAATGTTAATGTAAGTACTAAGCGTCGTAATGTAACGGAGCTTCACGTAAGTAAATGGAATTGGCAATATACTGCTGAATAAATTTCAATATTATTTGTAACATACAGAATGATCACATCACGTTCACGGTTTTCAACTATTAAGTTAACTGAATTGAGTAGGTACCTTAGTCCAATACTGCATACTATCAATCGAGACTAGAGTATAAAATATTATTCAACTTTACATTTTCTTTTTAAATATTTTTCAATCCATGTGTAAACAAAAATGATATTCATGGGTATGTGTTTGGGTAACAATCATTGATATTGACATAGTGGACTATGATATTCTGTCGAATTGATCTAGGAGACTATGCTCCAAAAATTTGCATAGGTATACGGTTGTTCAGATTAAATTTTCAATTGTGCGAAATTTCTATGACATTTCTCGTGAACTGTTAGTTAGTGGTAAGAAGCTTAAAAATGAAAATTACTCGTAAAAATTGTACTTATATATGCTTATATACCTAGACAAATTTTAAAAATGTTTCTTCGTTGGTACTTCATATAGATTTAATTACAAGCCAACCTTCTATATCAAGTACTAGCCTGTCCAATATTATCCACATATATTTTTTTGTTCTATGTTTATTATTTACTGCTAAATCAATGTTTTTCCACCAAAGTTATACTATTTGGTAATATTACGTTTTTAGACTTCTCCACACCCCTCTACATCAGGCGTTCAGGATACAACTACTAATATTCCTACTCAATATTTTGTACGTATGAAATACAAAAATCGCATGGTGACTCTATCTTCTAACTCATATGACACCATAGCTCTTGAAGGTTAGTACCTATGATTATTTTTTAGTCCGCGCGTGTTATTTCTGACATTTCTGAATTTTACATTTATAACATGTTTAGATGTGCATTTTAGAAAACATTCTTTGTAGAATTAAAACTTGGAATACTTTTAAAATTTTTTTAGTTTGTATGCGCTATAATTTCACTTTTTTAAAATATTTTTTATGATTACGTCTTACAAAACAAATCCGTCACTTTACAATAATTGTAGTAGTAGTAAGCACTAATGTAGCACGAACGAGTATACTTTCTTAGGATTAAGATAATTTTTTGTAAGTCATTTGGTTTATTTTAAATAGCCTTAGATATTCTTCAAATTTATTGTACGTACATGTGTTTTTTTGTTAAGCATTTTTTTAAATAGCTAAAATAGATAATAAAAATGATGTGTTTATTTGGACTTTGTTATTTTATGGTAATTTCTTCAGTGGATAACAAATTCACCAAATTGTATTGTTTATCGAATATATGCAATATATAATTTGATGTGGATTTAATTGGAACATAATTATTTTAAAAAGATACACTTTTTCATTAGATATAATAGTAGGTATAACAAAGGGGTCAAAATTTCAATTTGGTTAAACAAAGACTAATTCGTTTTGCAAATAATCACAATTAACCGAAAATTAATTAAATTGTCATAACTATTCAAATACATGTAATTGAAAATTCATTAGCAAATAATGTGCAAAACGTGCAATTTGACAATGTTTATAGTGGCAAGCAACAAATACCAAAATGCCATCATAACAAATCAATTTAGTGAATTGACACTATTATTCTGTCACAATAACATATTGGTTTAGTCATCCTTACTGTTCCTTGGTGGAAAAATTCTACTTCGTATTAGGCATAATATGAATTTTATAATGTCTATGTAACAACAACGTGATAGGGCACTTCCATCCTTTGTTCGGTAATGCAACAATTCAATACTGTTACAGTGAATTTTCATACGCAGTAATATAGCAATAACTAGAGCGTTATTCAAATAAAATAATGTGGTAAATTACTACTATATATGGGTACAGTTCCACCTTCGTTTTGTAATACTTACCTTTAATGGTTGGCGTATTGCCACTCCAATTTATATATTTCACCATTTCATAAAGCTTCTAATAACACAAATAAGTAGAGTGCATTCAATATTTTTTTGCAATTGCTGTCATAAGCTTATGTTAAAATAACTTTTTATTTGCAGTGATATTACAAAGAGTATTTGTAAAATTAACATTTCATTTATTTCAACTTTACCTAAAGTAAACCACTTAAATTAGTGCCAAATTTGCAAAGAAATAATGGAGACCTGTGGGAACAACTTTTTTTTTCTAATTTGCCACTTAATTTCTTACTGTGTAAGATTTGACGACGTTCTTACTCGACAAGAAAGACGTGTTATCGACAAACTGGCTCCAATTCGAGAGATCCTTGACTTATTCATAAAAAACTGTAAGGAAGGTTATCATCTTTCCGCATTTACAACTGTGGATGAAATGCTTCCCGCGTTTAGGGGCCGCTGTAGTTTCCGCCAATATATACCCTCGAAACCAAACAAATACGGTTTAAAAATGTTGGCACTTTGTGACGCTAAAATGTTTTGTACTAGTGCATTTGAGGTATACGTAGGCCAACAGCCTGATGGAACCTGTAGACAAACAACACGGTGATACACGTAAAGGTGAAAGATAAAGTGCATAAGGTGTTAAAGATCATGGACTTAACTAAAGTAAACTGATTCAGCCCACTCCTGCAAGTTGTCATGATTCTTCTTATTGGGATTGTTGAACTTTTCTTTTTTTTGTATTCATTAATATATATTTAAGTTTTTTGGGAAATATCGATTTAATTTTTCATTAATAATTAACTTTTATTTTTTTTATAGCTACATTACCTATTACACCTGAATTAAAATGGATTTATTAAATGATTTCTTATCGGAAGTTAATTACAATAGCAATAGTACAATGATTTGTAACTTAAGTACATACGTTTGGTAAGGAGAAAAATCAAATTTCTGTTTATCATGTCAATATTAGAAGTGTTAACAAAAATTTTGACGAGTTGTTATTGCAGCTTGATGGGTTACAAACACAATTTGACGTCCATCATTTTAACAGAAACGTGGAATTGCTTGGACTCCTTGGAGATATTTGCTTTGCCGGATTATAATCTGTATTATAATAACAGTAAGTATAATCAAAATGATGGAGTTATAGCTTATATCAGAAGCTCAATTAGACACACGATTCATGTAACAGAAGGTAAGCTAGGTATCAAATTTTTGACATAGATGGCGCTGTAAATAATTTGTCTTTTGGAGTTACAGCTATATGCCGCCCGCCATCCTACAATGATTTAGAATTTTTATCGGATCTTGAGCGTATTTTACCTAAGTTTAATAATGATATTAAGATATTAGTTGGAGACACCAATAGATATTAATTTGATACATATTAACAATAACATTACTAATTCGTACCTAAGTTTACTTAGTGAATTTGGTTACCTAACGTACCTAAACAAACCTACACGAGTAACGACAACCTCATCCTCTTGCTTGGACCATGTCTTTGTTAAATGCAGCATAGATATGGTAAAACATGTGCATCATGTGATATTAGAATCTTCCATTACGGATCACTATCCTATAATACTGATAATTAAAAGGAATGAACCAAACCAGCATGAACCAATTACAAATAATTTTGAAATAAAAGTAAAGCTTGACATTACTAAATTTCAATCGTTGGTGCGTGGTGATAGTTGGGAAGAAATCCTGTATTCACAAGATGTTAATTATGCATCCCAATTGTTTATAGGAAAGCTGAAATTGTATATGGAAAATTCTCAATATACCCAACGTATAACCTGTAAATTAAGAAAGCTTAAACCTTGGATGACTACCCATACAGCACACGTCATTTCAGATATGTTTCAGAAACCTGTCAATCCTTCATTTAGCGTACATTGCATTAGCAACGTTGCGGATATCTTACCGAAACGTGTAATTGTTATATTTCTAACAAACGTATCCAAATATTTCGGCAACATGTCAAAAACAACAATAAAAAAATTATGTAATTTTTCGTCATTACTCTGTCGAAGTACAAAAAATTAATATAATTTTGAACATGTCTCTAGTTTATATTCAAAGCTCGTTCAGTGCCGAAGTGATCGTGTAACATTTTTGTTTGAAAAGATCAAGTTCAAGATACGTAGGTTCGTACATCTTCGTTTCGTATCGCGTGAATTAGTGATTTTAGTTTTTTACAGTCTGCACTTCTGAAATTATTGACATCAATATAACCTTAAAAAAGTAGCTATCCAAAAAAGCAATTAATGCACGTGTAGGTGGTCTGTGATGCACGTTAATGAAGCTTGAAGCAAAGTGTACGTGTATTTGGATTTTGGAATATTTATAGAGGTTATTTGCGGAAGCTAACTGCCCATAACAACAAATCGAGCAAGTTTTGGTGGTAAGTGTATTTTATTTAGTTATTACCTATAAGTTAGATAAATAACGAGTAGCGTGTGTTTATACAAATTAAAAATGGAGGATGGGCTATTATTATTTCTATCACGGAAACATGCAAGTCATATTGTAGACATTTGAATCTTCTAACAGTGTTTATAGTTTTAGATACCATTATTCTAAAATGAGTCGAAAAACCAAATTGAAAACTAACCTTTCTTTGTCTACCCAACATACACGAAGATTAATTATGAAACAAACACGTTCTGATTTAAATCGCATACAATCTTCGGATCACAGTGGTCAATTGTCTACAAAGAACGAAGTTTTTGAAAGTAGCAGTTCTACCAATCATTTTTACTCAAGTACATTTGATACTGAAGACTTACAATTGCATCAAAGCGAGCATCAAAGTAACTGTGATAATACCTCGAATAATACATTAACATCAGAAGTGTGTGACAACCCCGTAAATTCACCTTGTACTTCTGGTGAAAATATTGATGAGTTGCCGGAAGATTTGTATAACGAACTATTCCAAGCTCGATTTGAAGAGCCATTATTTCATATTGATGAACCTTTTAATGAGCCCACATTGGAAGCAAAAACCAATAACCCCGATTGTAAAAGTGATACTGCTAAAGTCAAGCTAGCAAACTGGGCATTGAACTACAACATCAATCAAAATGCATTTTCAGCATTATTAAAAATTTTAAATGAAACCTTTGATTGTAAATTACCCATTGATGCAAGAACCTTGCTGAAAACGCCACGTAAAAGTGCAATCTGTAAATTTTCTACTGGAAATTATGTCCACTTAGGCTTAAACCGAGCATTAAAAAATATTACTGAGGGTATAGTTGGAGATGTAGTCAATATTAAGCTTCTGATTAATATAGATGGCTTGCCCCTTTCTCGCTCATCAACTGCATGCTTGTGGCCAATATTGTGCTCGGAAAATGTAACCAAAAAGGTCTTTGTGGTAGGGTTGTTTCATGGCTATGAAAAACCGCAATCCTCTAGTGAATTCCTAAAACAGTTTGTAGAGGAAGCAGTGGATTACGTCACAAATGGCTTTTATGCCAATGGAAAAAAATATAACATTATTGTTGCCGGACTCATTTGTGATGCTCCAGCAAAATCATTTGTTTTAAACGTCAAGGGTCATACCGGATATAGTAGCTGTACCAAGTGCACAATAGAGGGAACTTTTTTGAACAACAGAGTGTGCTTTCCACAAACTTCTAACGCCCGTTTAAGACACGTTGATGACTATTTTCAAAATGGGGATGATGAATTTTATTTATCTAAAACTGTGCTACTAGAAATACCTAATTTCAAACCAGTAAGCGGAGTGCCATTAGATTATATGCATTTAGTGTGCTTAGGTGTTGTCAGAAAGCTGCTGTTATTTTGGATAGAGGGTAAACCACAATCTGGTGTGAAATTATCATCCCGTACACTTCAGGAAATTTCAAAAGTCATTCTGTCATGTAAGAAACTTGTACCACTGGAAATTTCTAGAAAACCTAGATCATTGTCAGATATACACCATTGGAAAGCAACTGAATTACGAAATTTTCTTTTATATATAGGTCCTGTAGCATTAAAATCCAAATTGAATAGAGATGTTTATCTAAATTTTCTTACATTGCATGTTGCAATAAGAATCCTTTGCTGCCCTGCTTCTATTTTGAGAGAAGAAAATATCGAATATGCTGAAAATCTATTAAAACATTTTATTAAATCCTTCGAGCTCATTTATGGTACTCATAATATTTCTCATAATGTCCATAATTTGTCTCACCTTAGTGGGGATGTTAGAACCTTCGGAGCACTAGATGAATTTAGTGCATTTAGGTTTGAAAATTTTATGTCAACCATTAAAAGCCATATCCGAAAAAATGAGAAACCTCTTCAACAAATAGCTCGTCGGTTCAATGAAATTGAAAATTTAAATTTTTCAAGCAATAACAGATCATCAAATAAATCAAGCCTGTATAAAATTAAGAATTGCTTCCTAGATCTTTCCAATATGAAAGATTGTTGTGTATTGTTGGACAACGAGAATATTGTACATATTAAACAAATACAAGATGACACGATAACAGGATATTTATTTACAAAAGAAGGAAATTTGTACACATCTCCGTGCAAATCAGAATGTTTAAATATTTTCCTTTTATCTACAAGTTTTACAAGGGTGTCTTCTTCAATAAATTCTGTAAAAGCAAAACTATGGATATTGCCGTATAAAGGCGATTCATATGTTGGAGTTCCAATTTTACACTCGATTGATTAGATAGGATACTAGCATAAGAATAAGTAATAATGTTTATACCTATAACACTGTAATATTAAGGTAGGTTATTGAAGTGCATATAATTATGTAAATTATTTTTATTACAGGCAATTAATTAATATGAATTATAGTATAATTCAATTTGAAGATGGTGTGGAAGTAGTACCAGACAAATGGTTGGTTGGAGAAAACATGTGTTACTGGCCACCAATGAATTCTGATAAATTAACTCTACATAAATTGGTTTTGTCCAAAGCAAACGTTGAGAAAAATTGGGTCCAATACAAAATTTTAAAAATATTTTGTCATGCCGATAAGTGTTAGGTTAGGTACGTTTAAATGTGATTGTTAAATTAATAGAGTCATGTTATAATGCAGATACTTACCAAAGAGCCGTCCAGAAATTGAAGCTAGCCTTGGAAATGTCTGATATAGATACATCTGATGAATCACTCAAAAAAACAAGGCATTCACGACACCACAAGGTAGCTGATGAATTTGATGAATCTGATGTAGATCACTTCACTCCAAGCTTCATTCCAAACGAAAGAAAAAAGGAAAAAAAACGACGCCCATCTCCTTTAGATTCGGATGAAGATGATGTAGAAGCATGTCCAGAAATGTCATCAAAACTCCCACCATTCCCTTCTTCTGCAAATTTTACCCTTGTGGAAAATAGGAAAAACAATACAGCTGATGATGAAATATTGCCAATACGAAATTCTGTTCCGCAACAATGCATGTCAATGTCAAGGGCTAGTACTCCTTCTTCGGTTACAAATACCCGTGTTTCTATCAGAGGTATACAGTTAATTATTGTATTTTACCCTTAACATGAAGTTATTTTTAGGGACGGATGAAATATTAATGAAATTAAACACACTTCTTTCCATAACAAAAATTATAGAAAACAGGTTAACTCTAATTGAGCGGAGTGTTTCTAATCTACAAGGTGAGGGAAATGCAAAAGCACCGTCTTCAAGTTGCATGGAAGCAAAAGAATTTAACAAAATGTTTCCGTTAACAAGTGAAGTAGATTTATTGAATTTTGAGGAGAACCTAAAAGACGATACATTTTTTAATAAAATGGTAAGTAGAAGCTTTTATATTCTACATATATTACAGGGATTATTTGTAGATTGCAACATTATGTACAGTTGGGGGTACCGATGTGCAGAGCATAACTGTTAACATATTAAAAAAAATTCTTAGTAATTCCCTTGCAAATTTATTCTCATTACATGGTAAGAAGAAAAAGAAGATTTTCAAAAGTTTAAATACATGTAATTTAATTGTGGATACTGTACGTAAACAGAAAACTGGAACAACAGAGGTGGAAATCCTAGCAATAATTGGAAGTTGGCTACCTCAATCCAATTTGCGTTTATCACGCGAACAAAGGTAAATTTCAGTTGAATATATCCAACATCATTGTAACAAGGCATTTAGTTTTTTTGATTTTGATATGTGCATTTTGTGCATAAAAATATTCCTACAATTTGATTGCTACCTTCAACAGTATTACTACTTAATTTTTTTAAAGATTGCATTTGTGTTCAATTAACATTATTTGTTAAATTCAGACTGCGGTGTGCATTCATCAGAATTTGTAACCAATGCAATTTTTGTGGTTAATAAGTCCAAATGTCTATTTAATATTTATGAAACGCTGTAGATGTCAGAATTAACTTTGTTAATTTATTCAACCTTCTTAAACATTGTGTTCTTCTCTTTCAGGAAACAAAAAGGATTGGAGCAAGACAACGAATGAATCAATTCCGTTAATGTTCCCAATTTTTATATACTTAAGTACATATATTTTATAATATGTATTAGTATAGAAGGTACATTTTTGTATTTTCTCAATATATGAATATTTCTATTTTGTGTCTAATATATTTCTTAAATGTTTCATGTGTATGTTTCAGAAGCGTAACAAAACATATGAGAAATATTTGCTATGCATGTTTCTGAAATGTTGCATGTTATATTACATTGCAAGAACATTTTGCCATTTATAAATATTTCAACCATGTTTCAGATATCTTTCCAAATATTTCAGAAATATATGATATCTTACAAAGAAATCTATCTGCAATATTATAGAAACAATACCGTGCTGTATGGGTAACGGTCTTTTGACTTCATTGAGGATTAGGGACAAACTGAGTAAAATGTTGTTGCGCAATCCTCATAACAATGATTTATTTAAGTATTACAAGTATTATAGAAATTTTCTTACAAAACAAAATTATTACAAAAACAGACTTCACCAAGGCAATGGTTGGTAATTTAAAAAAGACGTGGGATGTCACTAATGAGATGACTAACGGTTTCAAATCTAGAAGGCCTTTGGGGAACATTAAGGGCATATTTGGGGAGATAATTACTGATGATGCGTGTAAAGCAAACTTTTTTAATACTTACTATAGAGATGTAGCGGTTACTATGGCCGAAAACATTGATCGTTACCCGGCTGAGAGAGTGATGCTAAATTCTGCCAACATAAACCCCAACACAATTTATTTATCACCAGTTACTGAAGTGGAGATAGAAAACCATATCCGTAAATTACACAACTCTTACTCCCCGGGAATTGATGGATTATCAAACTCTATTATTAAAAAAGTTGGTCCTATAATAAGCAAACCTATTGGTCATATTATCAACTTCTGTTTTAAAACAGGCAAATTTCCTGGAGTTTTTAAGAATTCTTTAATTATCCCAATTTTTAAAAATGGTGAACTGAGTAACGTGAGCAACTACCGTCCTATCGCATTGACAAGTAGCATCAGTAAAATTATTGAAAAGTGTCTTAAAACTAGGTTAATAGATTTCATTAATAAGCTTAAAATTCTATCGGAATTCCAATTTGGTTTTAGGAAAAATGTAAGTACCAGCGATGCAATTTATGAATTGACATCAACTCTGTACCCAGCGCCGGATTAAGCTAAAATGCGCCCAGGGGCATTTTCATAGACGCGCCCTACACGCACACCCATCTCCCAACTCACCTAACCATGCATAGTACCTTTATAAAAAAATTAATACAGCGAAAATATTTAAATTTATATTTCTTTGCACGTTTATTGTGATAGGGGAGTAATAAACAAGTTATCAATTACACAATCACAAGATCGTAAATTTTTATTGAAAACATCACAAATCATCCAAAATCATACATTAAACTACTTTTCTCTTTTTGTTTGACAAAAATCTTTCTATTATCACATCAGTATCTAAACTAGTCATTATTTCACTTTCTATAGATAGTAAGGACAAATTAGTAGTTTTATCTTGACTCATGCTATTTCTTAAGTAATTTTTTATCCGTTTAAGGACCGAGAACGATCTTTCGGCAGTGACATTCGTGCAGGGCAAAGTTAATAAAATTCTTAAAGCGACGTCAATATTAGGAAACGTCGCAACTAAGTTTTCTTTCCTAATGAGGGGCAACATATCAAAGATATTAACAGCACTAGAATCAACGCAAACAGATTGAATAAAATATTTAAAATGAACACACTCTTCTGGAAAATTACTATCCAAATCGGATTTGTAAATATCAAGTAATTTGGCAGACATTTCCCGGATAGATGAATCCGTGAGCGTGGTTAAATTTTTTAGGAAATCAAACGGAGCAGTGACACCATTGTATGCTTTCTTTCTTTTATCCAGTTCCGAGACAAGTTTATCGATTATAACATAATAAACATTATACAGCATATGTTCTTTACCTGTGAAAACGATTTCATTCATTTTGGATTCATCTGGACGGGATTTTCTCATCTTGGGCCTTTTTGTGTCCGCTTCATAGATGCAATCTCCGCACAAAGCTTCAGCATTTTTCTCAAACATTTCGAAACTTTCAATATTTCTGAGTGAGGTTATATATTTTATCAAAGAGTCATATAAATTTAGTACTGTTGTAATATTTAATATTTCTTTTTGCAGCGTTTTATTGGTACTGTTAATTTTAGTTAGCAATTCGTCCCAAAAGCAAATCATAAAACAGGTTTCAAACTTCTTTAAATTTTTTAATATTCCAGATGCTTGTACTCCCACTCGAGGATTGTGACCGTTATCGCCATTTATGATCTCCAAAGCTTTAATAATTTCGTGAAATCCTTCATGCAGAGCCTTGCTAGCATCAGCTCGAGCAGACCATCTTGTAGTTGAGAGTTGCTTTGGCACATTCTTAGGATTATCTTTATTTTCGCGAAGACAGTTTTTCAAAATCGTCCACCGTGCTGTCGAAGAAGAAAAAAAAACATAAACTTCGGTGACCACCATAAAAAAATTAACAGCAAATGAGCACGATTCGGCAGCACTTGTACCAACCAAATTTAAAGAATGGGCTGCACAGGGCATGAAGAATACCAAATCGTTCAACTCTTTTATGCGTGCTTGTAGTCCACTATATGGACCAGACATATTGGCCGCATTATCGTATGACTGGCCTCTACAGTCCTTGATATCCAGAGAAAATGAATTTAAAGTTTCCAATGCAGCTTTCTCCATTTCGGCAGCTTTATGACCAACGTTCCCTAGAAATGTTAAGAAGCGTTCTACGATCGTGCCAGATTCCGAAATATACCGTACTACAAAGCTTAGCTGGTCGGTGTGTGAAACGTCCGGAGTGGAATCAATGATAATGGAATAATACTTTGACAATTTTATTTCTGATACAATTTTTTCCTGCACCATTGTGGTTAGAAGGTCGATAATTTCGTTGCATATGGTTTTCGATATGTATGAGACGTTACCTCTTCCCTTATTACTTTTGGATTCTAGATGTGTCTTTAGAAAAGGGTCAAATTTTGACAATAGTTCCAATGCAGATAAAAAATTTCCACTACTGCTTTCGCCTAACTTTTCAACAGTGCCACGTAATGCTAAGCCTTGTTTCGTCAAAAACTTGATAACTTCCACAATCCTTTGTAACACGTTTTTCCAATATTGCCTTTCTTCTGAATATTGCTTTTCAACAGCACTATCCACCCTACTCGATAAAGTAGCGCGACTTACATATACTTTTACACTGTGTCTGTGCTCTTCACAACGTTCGTGTTCACCAAGCCTTTCTGCGTGTTTCCAGTCATTCCAGCCATTTACATAAAACGAGTCTCGCGAAGTACTAAATAATGTGCAATGCAAACAAAAAACTTTATAAATGGAGGCGGAGTAAAGTAACCAGTCTCGACGAATTGTTTCTCCATTAATATGTTTTGTAAAAAATAAATCTTTTGAAGCGTATCTAGCCGTTGTAGAATATTGCCGTTTCGATTTCTTAAAGTCAAAGTAATCTAAATTTTGTTTTGGTGGGTGTCGCAATATTCCTTCTATGAATTCATTATTATTTAATTTTAAATTCCATGTAGCCGGATCATTTACTACTATAGTACTATTTTCTAATACGGTTTCATACGGAAATATGTTTTCGGAACTCTCAGTTTCAGAATCATTTTTTGTATGATCTTGATCCGCTGCGAAATACCCATGCTAAGTATAATAAACAAATAGGAAAAAGACATACCTTTTAAATGAGTTTGATCTACACCAACTTCGACTACATTATCAGGATTATTAGCAGCAGCATCATCTCCCAGGATGGCTGCTGTAGATGTTGAATTTGAAGGAGCCCCTGCATCCTCGTTTGAAAAGAAAGCACTTAATGTAGGCACTTTAACAAGAAATTTTTCTAATTTATCACGTTTGTCTTTTGCAAGTTTACGCCGTTTAGCACCACTCATATTATGCAAACTCATTTCGCTAGCCGTTGATTTAGCTCGGATTATATGTCTATAAATTTAGAACTTTTAGAACCAAATTATAATTCCACGACTGTACCGGTACGCGTTAAAACTTTAAAAGAACGAAAAGGACGAATTGGTTGCCTTGCCATGTAGAGTGATGTGATGTAGGACTTATAAAATAATTCTAACTCGCTGTGTAAGAAGAAAATCGAATGTTTTGCTGATTTCGTCGGTCATTTTCAAAACAAAGGCGCATTCATTAGCGTCTGGCGACATTTGATACATAATACGTGTTATTTTTTATAAATGTGTCATGTATGTGTGCTGAGCGTGCGAGACTAGTCAGTACTTCAGTAGCCAGGTTTAAATTTCAAGTTTAATGTTTAATAAGAATTGAAAATTGATATGACTGATATGAGGCATTTAAATGTTTATTAGCTACCTAATATAGTTAACACTATTTGTTCCAATCCAAATGTTGCGCCCCTTTTCAAAATGCGCCCTGGGGCAAGTGCCCCATTGTTAATCCGGCGCTGTCTGTACCGTCATTTAGACCAAAATAAAAAAAACTGTAGCTGTGTTTCTAGATATGGCGAAAGCCTTCGATACTGTTTCCCATCCCATTTTGTGTCAGAAGCTAAATGCCAATGAGTTAATCGAATCATATTTGTTAGGTAGAAAACAAAGAGTCATGGTAAATAAGGTTATTAGTGACGAGGTACATGTTAAAATGGGAATTCCTCAGGGAACGGTTTTAGGCCCAATTCTCTTTTTGATATATATCAACGACCTGGTTAAATTAAATATTGGGGCTAGAATTGTATCCTTTGCTGACGATACAGTTTTGGTCTTTGATGCGGTAAATGATGAGACATTACGCTTAAAAATGGAATATGGCATGGCCCACGTCAAGCACCAACTAAACTCTGATTTGTTGTCTCTTAATTTAAAGAAAACTTATTTTGTGTATTTTTCATTAATAAATCGCCAAGTTCCTTTCAATAACGTTTTGATTCATTCATTTAGTTGTTTAAATCAAAACTACCTAAATTGTATATGTGATCACAACATAATGGCAGCTTCTGAG